TATTTAAAAATACCAAACTACACTCTCAATGTATATTAATGTAGCTAAACATATTTTCATGATACATGGTGATCATATCTAACTTTCCAACGAATAGTTTATTTAAACTTCATTTGCGATCTAATTAGTTTACTAACCCCTATAAAATCTCTATTTTCTAGAGAAATGGGAACACATAAAGTCTCAAACCTCTTTAATCTTCATAATATGACAGTTCATGATAAAATATGCATTAAAACAAAAATAAAAAAATTTCTAATTTTTCTTGAAATATGTGGTTTAACACCTTTGAAAAAATTGAATTTTCCGATAAATGCTATCTATAACTTTTAGACACTTTAGTGTTGTTTAAAAATACCAAACCACACACTCAATATATATTAACGTAGGAGAAAAATATTTTGATTGTACACGATCATTCCTAACTTTCAAACTAATAATTTGTTTAAACTTCATACACGATCTAATTAGTTTCCTAACCCCTATACGATATCTATTTTCTAGATAAATGGGAACACATAAGGTCTGAGACCTCTTTTATCTTCATAATATGACAGTTAATGATGCAAATATGCATAAAACAAAAATAAAAAAAAATTCTAATTTTTCTTGAAATATGTGGGTTAACACCTTTAAAAAAATTGAATTTTCTAATAAATTCTATCTATAATTTTTAGACACGTTAGTGTTGTTTAAAAATACCAAATCACACACTCAATATATATTAACGTAGGATAAATATATTTTCATGGTACACGGTCATCATTCCTAACTTTCAAACGAATAATTTATTTAAACTTCATATATGATCTAATTAGTTTCCTAACCCCTATAAAATCTTTATTTTCTAGAGAAATGAGAACACATAAGGTCTGAGACCTCTTTTATCTTCATAATATGACAGTTAATGATGAAAATATGCATTAAAACAAAAATAAAAAAATTTCTAATTTTTCTTGAAATATGTGGGTTAATATCTTTGAAAAAATTGTATTTTCCGATAAATGCTATTTATAATTTTTAGACACTTTAGTTTTGTTTAAAAATACTAAACCACACTCTCAATGTATATTAAACGTAGGCTAAATATATTTTCATGGTACACGGTCATCACTCCTAACTTTCGAACGAGTAATTTGTTTAAACTTCATATACGATCTAATTAGTTTCCTAAACCCTATAAAATCTTTATTTTCTAGAGAAATGAGAACACATAAGGTCTCAAACCTCGTTAATCTTCATAACATGTCGTTCATGATGCAACTATGCATTAAAACAAAAATAAAAAAATTTCTATTTTTTCTTGAAATATGTGGGTTAACCCCTATAAAAAATTTCATTTTCTGATAAATGCAATCTATAAATTTTAAACACGTTAGTGTTGTTTTAAAAATACCAAACCACACTCTCCATGTATATTAATGTAGGATAAATATATTTTTATGGTACACGGTCATCATTCCTAACCTTCGAGCGAGTAATTTGTTTAAACTTCATTTACGATCTAATTAGTTTACTAACCCCTATAAAATCTCTATTTTCTAGAGAAATGGGAACACATAATGTCTCAAACCTCTTTAATCTTCATAATATGACAGTTCATGACATAAATATGCATTAAAATATTTTGATTGTACACAGTCATCATTCCTAACTTTCAAACTAATAATTTGTTTAAACTTCATAAACGATCTAATTAGTTTCCTAACCCCTATAAGATATCTATTTTCTAGATAAATGGGAACACATAAGGTCTGGGACCTCTTTTATCTTCATAATATGACAGTTAATGATGCAAATATGCATTAAAACAAAAATAAAAAAATTTCTAATTTTTCTTGAAATATGTGGGTTAACACCTTTGAAAAAATTGAATTTTCTGATAAATGCTATCTATAATTTTTAGACACTTTTGTGTTGTTTAAAAATACCAAATCACACTCTCCATATATATTAACGTAGGATAAATACATTTTCATGGTACACGGTCATCATTCCTAACTTTCAAAAGAATAATTTACTTAAACTTCATATATGATCTAATTAGTTTCCTAACCCCTATAAAATATTTATTTTCTAATGAAATTAGAACACATAAGGTCTGAGACCTCTTTTATCTTCATAATATGACAGTTAATGATGCAANAAGAATAATTTACTTAAACTTCATATATGATCTAATTAGTTTCCTAACCCCTATAAAATATTTATTTTCTAATGAAATTAGAACACATAAGGTCTGAGACCTCTTTTATCTTCATAATATGACAGTTAATGATGCAAATATGCATTAAAACAAATATAAAAAAAATTCTAATTTTTCTTGAAATATGTGGGTTAACACCATTGAAAAAATTGAACTTTCTCATAAATTCTATCTATAATTTTTAGACACTTTAGTGTTGTTTAAAAAGACCAAATCACACACTCAATATATATTAACGTAGGACAATTATATTTTCATGGTACACGGTCATCATTCCTAACTTTCAAACGAATAATTTATTTAAACTTCATATATGATCTAATTAGTTTCCTAACCCCTATAAAATCTTTATTTTCTAGGGAAGTGAGAACACATAAGGTCTGAGACCTCTTTTATCTTCATAATATGACAGTTAATGATGAAAATATGCATTTAAACAAAAATAAAAAAAAAATTCTAATTTTTCTTGACATATGTGGGTTAATACCTTTGAAAAAATTGAATTTTCCGATAAATGCTATTTATAATTTTTAGACACTTTAGTTTTGTTTAAAAATACTAAACCACACTCTCAATGTATATTAAACGTAGGCTAAATATATTTTCATGGTACACGGTCATCACTCCTAACTTTCGAACGAGTAATTTGTTTAAACTTCATATACGATCTAATTAGTTTCATAAACCCTATAAAATCTTTATTTTCTAGAGAAATGAGAACACATAAGGTCTCAAACCTCTTTAATCTTCATAACATGTCGTTCATGATGCAACTATGCATTAAAACAAAAATAAAAAAATTCCTATTTTTTCTTGAAATATGTGGGTTAACCCCTGTAAAAAATTTCATTTTCTGATAAATGCAATCTATAAATTTTAAACACGTTAGTGTTGTTTTAAAAATACCAAACCACACTCTCCATGTATATTAATGTAGGATAAATATATTTTCATGGTACACGGTCATCATTCCTAACCTTCGAGCGAGTAATTTGTTTAAACTTCATTTACGATCTAATTAGTTTACTAACCCCTATAAAATCTCTATTTTCTAGAGAAATGGGAACACATAATGTCTCTAACCTCTTTAATCTTCATAATATGACAGTTCATGATACAAATATGCATTAAAATATTTTGATTGTACACGGTCATCATTCCTAACTTTCAAACTAATAATTTGTTTAAACTTCGTATACGATCTAATTTGTTTCCTAACCCCTATAAGATATCTATTTTCTAGATAAATGGGAACACATAAGGTCTGAGACCTCTTTTATCTTCATAGTTCATAATATGACAGTTAATGATGCAAATATGCATTAAAACAAAAATAAAAAAAATTCTAATTTTTCTTGAAATATGTGGGTTAACACCTCTGAAAAAACTGAATTTTCTGATAAATGCTATCTATAATTTTTAGACACTTTAGTGCTGTTTAAAAATACCAAATCACACACTCAATATATATTAACGTAGGATAAATATATTTTCATGGTACACGGTCATCATTCTTAACTTTCAAACGAATAAATTACTTAAACTTCATATATGATCTAATTAGTTTCCTAACCCTTATAAAATCTTTATTTTCTAATGAAATGAGAACACATAAGGTCTGAGACCTCTTTTATCTTCATAATATGACAGTTAATGATGCAAATCTTATATATTAAAACAGAAGTCATAACTTGATTTCATGTGTGATTTTTAAAAGGATGGACTATTACTAGAAATTCATGTTAAATTAACTATCTAATAATCTTATCATTATTATATCTTATGAAAAATCATATCTATAATAACAAATATACGCTTAACAATTTGGTTTTGGTAAATTACCCTACACCTTCCAACTTAGTCACACAAAATATGTTAATAGATATAAGTTTAGGAATCTACTATTATTTATAAGGAAATATGTCAATAATAGTTAAATGCATCTATAATATATTAACAAAATCACAGATTCGTAATATGGAATATTTATATACCCTAAAAATTTTACACACTATATATACTAGATAAATTTATTTCGATGTAAAATTTTAAAATTATATTGTTTTAAAAAAAGAAATTGTTTACAAAATTTCTTTTTAATAAAATTCTTTATAATATTAATTTATGAAGTTATAAGTTTAGTTTTTAGCAAAAAAATCTTTGAAGTTTATATTATCTTTGCAAATTAAAATATATTAATATTTAATCAAGCTCTATTTATATTACTTTATCTAAAAATGAAATATTAATCTAACAAACAATAAAATGTAGAAGAAGAAACAAGCACATGTTTGAAAACATGTGTAATATATAAAATTAGAAACAATCTATTTGATTAAAACACGTATTATATAATATTATTATGTTTGAAAAACATTTACTATACATATCGTAAATATGTGATTACTATAATATATACCAATTTACAAGTGAAAACAAAATGTTTATATAATTAATTATAAACGAAAATAAACACCCGCGCGGTTGCGCGGGTCAAAATCTAGTATGCATTAAAACAAATATAAAAAAATTCAACCATCATACCTGCTGGTAACTCCCAATCAAAATTATACAACATATTTGCAAGACCATACTCCCCCATTGTTGTTCCCATGTATATTACTTCATAGTCAAAGTTCTGTCCTTTTGTATCAATATAACACCAACAAACCTTAGAAACATCTCAGGGTCTTTCCAGGTTTTTGGATCACGCCCAATAGCCCAAACCTGGAAAGGTATAGGTATTTAGCGATTATAATATAAATTTGAGATATATTTCCACTTTGTAATCATATATACAGGAAAAGCGGTAATGTTAGCGGTTGCTATGAAGGTTTATGGCGCTTAATTCAAAAACTCTTAGATCACAATTGGCTAGAACAGCATCCCTGAAAATGTATAGATTTAACTCTTTCACAAACACAGGGAACTATATATTTTATATCTTTCTTTTTTTGTTACTTCATACACAAGGAACCAACAAGAGACAATCAAAATCCAAGACATAACTCTTTTAGTATCCTGCGGCTACATTCATACTCTCGGAGATGATTCTTTGCTGTTTAATCTCTTCATATCAGTTTCGGATCTGCTTCTGGAGTTCCCCGTCTCTTTGCCAAAGTACATAAGCTTAATCCGTTGGATGTCTTCAGCAACTTCCATCATTGTAGGCCTCATGTTTCTATGGAATGATAAGCAGCGAAATGCAAGTTCGGCTAAGTTCTGGACAGAGGCAAACATTTTTGGATCGTTCTCTGTTTGTAAACAGGGATCAATGATATCTACCACACGCCCTCTTCCGATCCTGTCAATAGCAAGAGCGGCTAGGTTCACTTCAGTGAAGGGACGAGTAAAGTCTATGACCTTAAACCCTGAGATGATCTCAATGAGAACAACTCCAAAGCTATAGACATCGCTCTTATCCGAGAGCTGAAAATCTTGGTGGTACTGTGGGTCTAAATATCCCGGAGTGCCTTGTGGAGCCGTGGAGATATGGGACACGTCGAAATCTGCGGACATGCCGAGCCTAGAGAGTCCAAAGTCAGAGACCTTGGAGTTAAACTCGTGGTCGAGGAGTATGTTGCTAGATTTAATGTCTCGGTGGTAGATAGGAGGGTTTACTGAAGAGTGGAGATGTGCGATTGCGTTTGCGGTTTGAGAAGCGATGGAGAGACGTAGCGGCCAAGAAAGCGGTGTGTGGCCTCTTTCGTGTTGTAAATGCTGAGAAAGCGTTCCGTTAGGCATGAACTCGTAGACTAGAATGGGTTCGCCTTGAGCGACACAACAGCCTAAGAGACGAACTAGGTTAGGGTGGCTAACGGAGGAGAGAAGCTTGATCTCGTTCACGACTTGGTCGATGCTTGGTGTGTCTTTGCGTCTGAGACGTTTGATAGCGACCCATGAGTTGTTTGGGAATTCGCCAGCGTAGACTGTTCCGTATGCTCCGATTCCGAGCTTGTTTTTGTCGGAAAAGTTGTCGGTAGCTTTCTCGAGCTCTTTGTAGGTGTAGAAGGGAACGCTGGAGTTCCCGGCGAGCTCACAGAACAAGCGATTCGCGAGTGATGATTTCGAGGAAGACGTAGAACGTTTGTGGCGGTAGATAAAAGCAAATATCGATATGGCAATTAGTGAAGCTCCAAGTAAAGTAGCTGTGGTGTAACAAAACATAAACACTCAAGTTATTAATCAACGTCACTATAGTTTAAGAGCTATGTATTGAAGTTTACATACCAATTCCAAAAACAATGAGTTTGTGTAGTAGTCCTTTGCGTTTACCAACTGAAAAGTAAACTACCGAGCTAGTCAGCAACATAACTATAAACTCTATAAATAAATTAATAAACAAAACAAATTAATATCTTTTTTTAAATTCAAACTGAATAAATGTAAAATATAACATAATTATTAAAATAATTAAATAATTAAATTTTTTTTTATATAAATTCACGCTCTTCCATTAAATCATAATTAATTATTATTATATATAAGCAGTACAATGTTTATATAAACATAAAAAGCATTTTAATGAAACTTATAAGTAATTTTAGTTACATTTCAGTATTGAAGTATTTTTATTGAATTACATATACACCCATTTAAATTTTAGAATATGTAATTTGATACTTAAAACTTTATAAAATAATCTAATAAAAATATATGAAATTTAAATCTAAAAAATTTAACTAGTGTATAAGCGAAATTAATATTTTTAACAACAATACTTTCATTCAATCAAATAGTATACGGTTGATACGAGAAAAAAAAATTAGTATTGTGTAAACATAAATCTAGAAAAAAAATTGGTTAAATTCGTAGTTCTATAAATTTATAAATTATCATAGTTCATTATTGATTTCTATAATTTTTATTGTACTTTGAAAACTAAAGTCAGTTTGAAGTTATGTGTCACTGTCTGATTAACTTTCTTTCTGTCGGTCAAATTTTTTTTGTAAAGAAGTAGAATAATGGCACGGACCTGGTCGGCAACCACCGTGCACGATAAAGGCGTTACCATAAAATCCATCGTGACAAGTGCAACGATGACCAAAACCACCTCCGGAGAGAGTGACATTCGTACAAGTTGCGTTCGCGGAACACGCCGTGTCACTACAACCTTCCTTAAGCCACCAATCAAGCCTGAGTTGACCCAAATTAACCGAACGTTGCGATTTAGACCGAGTCGTAATCGAAGAGAACCAATACTTACATCCACTCCGGTTAACAACTTCTAATACACTCATCACATCTGCCTTTATCTCCGTGGATCTGTTAAGACATCTCACCTGAGAGATACAACTACTTTGGTTTAACCGATCTTCGACGAAATTACGATCAATTGAACAATCAGACGACGATTCGTTGCACCCTTGGACAAGGATTGTGTTCTGTAATATCGACGGAGCGAAATTGTCGCGGAAGAGATGCTCGATTTTGCGGATATCGCGTTTGCACAGCGGCGGGATGTTAACGTATATGTTTGCGTTCGTCACTTCCTGTACGGAGAATTCTCCGATCTCCGCGGTTTTGTTGGAGCAATTGAATCGGATCGGATAACCGTCGGTGAAACCGAATGGATAAGGGAGCGAACCGGTTTCGCAGTTAACCGAACCGGTGGTTTGAGTAGCGACGGTTAGAGTGAAGAAGAAGAGGAAGACGAGATACGGAGTGGTTGGTTGGTGAGTTTTGTCCATTTGAAGAAATTTAACAATAATGAATGTAATGATTTGTCAATGGCAGAGAGTGTAAGTTAAGAGCTGCTCCATGGAATGATTTGTTTGACCGTTTCGTTACCAGACAGCAGGGTTGAGTTGACATTTACGGTTCCGCTGACTCGTTAAGAATGGATAAGGGAACTCTTATCATCATAGCCGTTAAATTAAAATCAAATGAAAAACCGTGATGAGTTTCCTACTGTCTCTGATGGTCTTATTTTAAAAAGTCAATAAAGATACGTAGTCGCGGGAAAATGTCTAAGACCATATATACTAAGACCAGTTCGAATCCAATTTTTCGTTATTATTTTTTGTTGTTGTTCTGATAAGTACATATGTGCGTACATAACTAACAGGCAATACAACTATTTGTTGTTCTTTGAAGCATGAGTTACATCCTTACAACTGTAACTTAAGCCGCACGAAAAGAAGAGCATGAATAATTCATCTGGCGCCATATTTTGTCACTTCAAGTCGTGTGGACGCTATACATGGCTCCAATAATGAAGTTTCATTGGGGTTGGCGTCACGTAACTTCTGATCCAAAAGTGTGAAACCGAGCTAAAATTCATTGCTGACGTTTTCTATACATTCGGCGGTCCACATTAACCAAAAATAAAAAATAAATAGTTGATTTTATTTTTGATCTATCAATAAACAAACACAGCGAAGGGAAAAATTCAAATAAAACAAAGACTAATAAGATTTCATTCAACGAGTATTACATTAGTAACAAGGATAACGTGTCCAAAACACAATAGAAAATTCAGTCTACAGAGCATAAGTCTCTGATTTTTTTATTTATTTTTAACATCATACAGATAACAAAATTCATTCGTTCATTCTTCTTCCGGTGTGATTATTACGTCTGGTTTCTAGCTTTCTCTTTCTCCTTTGCTTCGCTACCTTGAGTTTTATCGTAATCTTCAAAAACAAGGAAACACACATACATATATTTAGAGGTGGACTTCTTTACTGTAGATGTTATAATTAAGTTATTCAAATTACCAGGGTGATAAAATAAAAAAATAAAAAAAAAATTACCAGGGTGATTCTCATGGACCTCTTTATCCTTTTGAAAAGTTTGATTTCCACCATAAGTTCCTCCAAAACCTTCTTCGTCAGACCTTGTAGCGTATCCTTCTCCAAACGAATGCGACATCACGTCTCTGCGCCCAAATTTAAATCAAAGAAGAAGAAAGAACATTAAATTAAATTAATTTCAAAGGAACCATACACTATTTTATTACACATATATAGTATAGTGAAGGAGACGAACCCGGTTTTCTCGTTTGTGTTTTCAGGCTTCTTGTTCTTATCCATCTTTTGCTGGTCAGGAGATGTCGCGAAACTAAATCCAGTAACTTTGCGGCCTATTCTAGAAGGTGATGAAAAGAAAGAGATGGTGCCTTCAGGCAGTGGTCGGATTGTCTTAAACGCGTTATTGATCATTTCTCAGCTTTCTGAGGTTTCTCGAAGCTTTAAATTTATAAGGAAAATTGTTGTTATCCTTACGAGGAGACGATAAGTTAAAAATAAGATGAATATTAGGTGAGTGATTCATATGACGATGACAAATGTATGAAGTGGTGTATTTCGAATAATTAAAGGTTAACAAAGGTGGAGTTGGACTTAATCTCTGTCAGGATTAAACTTAGTTAAACGTCTCTGTCTCTTACGACGGTGTCTTGGTTAGAGTTCACCACGTGGAATCCGATGAGAGGTGGTGGACAAAGAGAGGGCTTCCTCACGTGCATGCATGTCAGAGAGACGACACGTATCAAAGGCTACGACGGTTCAGAATTGTATGCCAAATCCTCTTTTACCAAATTGGGCTAGAAAGAAAAGTTAGAATGACCAAGTAAATTTGGGCCATGACACTTCCACAAAGACATAGGTAGGGCCACTTGACCGTTAAGGAGTGGAGGACGTGGGGATGATGTCATCATTGATACACTCAAACGAAAGAAAAATCAGTACAGTGACTGTGACACTGAATTGACTCAAGTTAGAGGGAAATAAATCATGTCAAATCAACTCAGAAACAAATAGGTGAAGGAGTTTGATTTTAAAGAAGAAAAATAAAACTTTGTATGTTTTCTTTTTTTTTATCAAAACACTTTGTATGCCTTTGCAGCACATATTCTGTTTCATAAGTTTCACCACATTCATAAAATTTTCACCACAACCTAGATAACAATCTTTCTTCTATCCCTTTTAATATAATAAGAAGTAGATACATATTTTACTCAATTATTAATTACATCTCAAACAACTGACTGACCAGAAACAGCAAAAATCAAACAAATTTTACATTATGTACAGACAAAAGTAGATGAGTGAGTACACAACATAACCAAGAACAGTTTTAACCTACTTCATAAATCAAATGTTTAAAAAGTAAGCTTGAGGTAAATTGAAAACCTACCCCAAAAATAACTCAACACTGAAACTAAACCAAAACACTATCATCACATCTTTGATCAAAAACAAAAAAAAAACATTATCATCATCAAACCATGGCTTATATTAACATTTGAATTACTTCTTTCTCTCTAAACCAAAACTAAGACTTGGAACGGACACAACACTACAAATACCAAAAGTATCGGTTGGTTCGGTTGATCATCGCCACGAAGAAACAGTGAGGAGAGGCAAATCATTCCATGCCAAGGAGACAAAACCTGGCTTCGATTCAACAATCGAATACAAATTACTGTAATTATAGTTCCACAACAGAATCTCCGCTTGACTCACTGCATAACTACTCAGCTTAACCGATTCAAAACCGGCATTCTCCATCAATACCCGCCACTCTTCTTTCTCCTCCATCCGTTCCCTCTGATTCCCGGTTATCTCCGGTCCAATCAAACCGGAGATCATCCGACCAAACAGAACTCGTTCCACTCTCAGTCTCTCCTCCGAATCTCTCCCCAAATTCGCTTCAACTGATTCAAAAACCGCAGAGTAAAACCGAAGCGCGTTTTTCACCCGGTTACCAAAACAAACCCGGTTAAGCCTCACATCGTACTCTCCAAGAGTCACAACCACCGGATTCAACGACCTCGCTAACCGTAACGCAGAGTCAACAACCGTCGTAGTCTCGTCGAGTAATTTATATAGCTGAAGCATGAAATTAACAGCCAACACCTCATTGTGATCAACCCGGAAACTCGACCCGTTTAGTAAGTGGATCGGAGTGAGAACCGGGAAAAACTCGAAATTCAAATCCAAAACTTCAGCGAAATCACGGAGGCGGTTACCCGTAGCGATCAATGACGTCTCGGGAGATTCACGAGCGGGTATACCCGAGATCCGGATTCGAGCGGGTTTACCAGAAGAACGTGTAGAGAGTGCTTGAAGAAGAGCAGGCCACTGGATACCTTTAACGATTCCGAAATCGACGATGTGAATTTTGCTGGAATGTTCCGTGGCTTCAAGAATCGCTTGGTTGGCTGTTAAGTGCGCGAAGTTGAAGTAGGGACACGCGTCGTTTAGGGTTTTGTAAGAGAGGATTAAGTCCTCCACAGTTGAATCATTTGAAACGGGAGCAGGAGATAGTCTTTTGCAGAGAGCTTGGGTGAAGTAAAATCCCACTCGCTCTGTTGGATCACCGTGCTTTGATACTGATTCTTGGATTCGGACAAGGGACTTGGTTGCGTCTTCAGAGTCTAAGATCAGTGAACAGTCGTGTATAGCTTTCAGCAAAGGCTGTTCTAGGTCAAAGTCTTCTTCTGAGTTGTTTGTGTCTGGATGTTTGGTTTTCTGACGTGGCGAAGATGAAGATGGAGGTGGAGGAACAGATAATGGCGACGATGGAGCCCATAAGTGGGAGGGAAGTGAAGTAGAAGTAGCGATGACTTGGTTTAGATCTGACGGTTGAGAACACGGGTAAGCTGAGAAGGGATCTGGACCGTGGACTGAATTATTTTGCCAGGTGTCACAATCAGGAGTCACCGAGTCTCCACCGGTAATCAGAGTTTCCATCCACTCGTCGGACTCAAACTCGCCGCCGGTTTCACCGTCGAAATCAGGAAGCCTAAACTCATTATCGGTGGTGGGAGGGTGATGGTCTAAGTTGTGAAACGGAAACTCTGACTCGTTGGGATCTCCGCCGCTGTTAACCTGAAACGGGTCAGGAAAACCCGAACCGGAGAGTCCAAACCCGAGGGACTGGTTGTTCGGTGTAGGCCAGGGATTGAGAGACAAAGGGTTGATACCGAAGATATGATGGTCTGGAGGTTGGTGTTGTTGATGTTCTTGTTGTTGTTGCTGCTTTTGTTTGATGACTTGTTGAGCTATCGCCATTAGATTGCCACTGTCAGTACACATGTAAGCCATTTCTCTGGCCAGATCTAACCAGAGCTTCAAAATACTATATCACCTGCAAATTTGTGTCACTGTAAAATGAAGAAGACTGATGGCGGAGAGTGAAAGAGAGAGGGATTGTGTGAAATGGCGGGATCTCAAGCTGAGTTGCGTATTGGATTTTAGTACTAGAGAGTGGTAAAGATATGGACCCCATTTTTCTATTGATTTTGTAACTATATATTATATCATTTGTCCCTTTTACTGTATAGATACGATATTTGTAACGGTAACAATACCAATATTAACAAACACCAGTCTCTCACCAGAAGATTAGTTTTGTAGTTAAGAGATACACAAACATATCGACAGCAATGCTCTTTTGTTTATCTTTTAACACAATTTAGAATACAATACAAGTTGAAACAACTAATTGGTTAAAAACTATATTGAAAACAAATGATAATAACCAGACCTAATGTTCATATTAGTGTCCTCACTATGATTACAAAGGTGATTTTTTTTTATGTGTGTGTGAACCCGTCTCATCCCGCTCTTTACGGGGGACCCAAGACGCATGGTCCACCACTGTCTTCAGAGACGTCATCGTACTGTAGATCTTTGACTCTTTTAGATCTCTGCCTTTGAGTTTTTCTTTTTAAATGTAGTAGACTGTAGACGTATCTGATCACAACTGCTGTGACTGTCTTTGAATCACCCTGCATGTATTGTTGATTTTATCATCCGAAATAAAAACTGAAAATAGAAAGTAGTATAACCCATACATAGACGCCTTATTGTTTCATGATTTATCGATGTCATAAAAGTATTTGAGTACTAATTATCTGTCTGAAAGTGAATATATAGAAATGTAATAACATTAAACATCAGTCATCATACACAGAGACAACGTGACGCAACGAAAGAAATAAATAACTAAAAGAAAGCTAACTGAATTAGATGTTTCGTGCTTTTGTTATTGTGTTGTCAATTTGTCATTAAAATCGTTTACATCGTTACGCGCCAGAAACGAGTGCGAGTATAAAATGGGTGTATACAAAACTTTGAGGGTGACTGATGGGGCCATGGATCAGCAGCAGCCCATGTAGTTCTAAAATATGACACGGGAAAAGGATCGGTGGTGGGGCTGTTAACTGTTGCTGGACCAGGAAGGAGGGGAAACACTTGAGGAAGCTTTTGAAATTACCCAAAATAAGCTAGAAAGACCAAACAAACATTACAATAAAATTAGGAAACCACAAGTGTTTTTAATATTTGTACTCTTTTTGTTTTTTTCTTTATTTGTCAGAAAAATGTCTGTACTCTTTTAACAGTAAAAAGATATAAGAAGTCAAGAAAATATCATCTGACTGCTTTTCACGTGAAGATAAATATGTGAATTTCTCTGTAGTATATATTGGTTAAAATTAAGATCATAGCAGAAATTTGTGGTTTTGGATGGTTTTCATATGTTAAGAAAAAACAGTTCATTGCTTTTGTTCATATATTAAAATAATTAAAATTTTTGAATCCGGTATACTTTAATTTATTGTTTACTTATTTTGAGTTTTTCACTTGCATTTTTTTGAGTAGTATAATTAGTCAATGAATACTTTTTAACACCACCTTTGAATTCAACACTTGAGTTCGTGTACGTAGACTGATATTTTTTTTTATTGATTCGTTTGCTTTAGAAATGAAGATTTAAATTGAGTTCATCTATTCTCGATATTTCGTTTGGGAAAAGTGCTATAATACAGGAAAAGAAGAAGGGCAAATAGTTATTGGAAGAAAGTAAGTGAAGAAAGCAAAGTTAACCTCTCAGCTCTCTCGCTATCTCTCTTTTGGGCTGCACCGTTGTCTCCACGTCAAAATTAAAGATCACTCACTTTGGTGACCTCACTTCTTACCACTCACTCGCTAATGTTTTGTAAGTTAATTTCTATTCAAATACACATCTCTTTCAATTTTTACTTAAAATAACCAGTCTCTTGCTCTAAGAGCATCTCCAACCCCACTCCATAATTTTACTGCAAAATGGAGTGGGAAATGGAGTAGTGAACAAACAAAAAAGTCATTACTCCATTTATAGAGTAATCACTTTTTTGTTTGTTCATTACTCCATTTCCCACTCTATTTTGCAGTAAATTATAGAGTGGGGTTGGAGATGCTCTAACACCTAGGTTTCGTAAGAACTGTATTTACAAAACGCATTTAAATTTAATTGGTTCCTAAATGTTTTAGGACTGTCGATGTAGATGTGGTCGTACTTTTAGAAAAAAAAAATTGCCAACTCATAAAATTAATATGGGATAAATTACTCATTTACATTTACTATCCCTAAGCCGTCAAACCAAATTTCTGAGTGTTTTTCTTGTTAGCTTGAAGATAAAGATGAGAAAAAGAAAGGTGTATGAGTGAAAAATTTCAACCCCTACTTTACTGAAAAGGTTATATAGATGAGGATTAAGCGTGTTTAATCACAAAATTTCTCTGTCATACGTTGCGTTTTAGGCAATGCAAAGTCTGTTATTGAGTAATTAATTGATGTTTATATGTGAAATGAATAGGTTAATACATAAATGTGTTTGGTGAAGTCGACTGGTTGATTTAATGTCCTTTTTTGGGTTAAGTTTGGATTGATTTATTATGTCGCGAAGCTTACTGATATTTGTCACATCATTGGTTGGTTCGTTCTGACATCTAATTTAGGAACTCTGACTCTGCAAATGCAAACAAACAATAACAAACACACAGATACGTATAATACTTTTAATTATTATATAAGTAAATGTATAAAATACATATGGTTTATTTAGTTATGGTTGATTGAATATATAAAATTACATAGTTCGTAGAGATTGGGTCGCAATGTCAAGATAGTAATCATACATAATATATGTATCTAACTATATTTAAAATATGTATTTAATATATTTTAAATGTTCACCCACCGTGTTATAATGCAAATTGAATATGTGGAAATTACCAACTGGATTGAATTTTTGTGGCATTTGAGAGATAATCACTAATATAATAGCAAGATTCGAGGGGATGAGATTTGCAAGAAGATGTCCGCGAGTTTCTCATCTATTATTTGCAGATGATTCACTTTTTTTCTGTAGAGCTAATTTGGAAAATGCTCGAGAAATTGTAGTGGTTCTAGCGCAGTATGAAACTATCTCGGGTCAGAAGGTTAATAAAACTAAATCTTCTATAATATTTGGACGCAGAATAGAAGATCAAAGACGACATGGTATCCATCAAACTCTTCAAATATCTAATGTAGGAGGCGAAGGTAAATATTTTGGTCTGCCGGAACGATTTGGTCGGAGTAAAGTGGCGGATTTTCAGGGCATAGTTGATACAGTTAAGAAGCAAAAAACGATGTGGTATAATCAATTAAGGAGATCTTGATTAAGTCAATTCTTCAAGCCAAACCTGTCTACCCCATGAGCTGCTTTCTTATCCCTAAGACTACTTGTGATGACATTAATTCTTTGTTGTCTGAGTTCTGGTGGGGACAAAATAATCGGAAGAGAAAGATATCTTGGATAGCTTGGAAGAGATTGTGTTTGCCTAAATCGGAGGGAGAAATGGGTTTTCGAGATCTACATGAGTTCAATATTGCATTACTTGCTAAACAAGCATGGAAGATAGAGAAGAATCCTCAATCTCTTTTGGCCAGATTATATAAAGGACGGTATTATAACTCGTCGACATTCTTACAGTCGACAAGTTCAACTAATTCTTCCTATGGTTGGAAGTCTATTCAAAAGGGAAAAGAGCTCCTTAAGCAAGGTATGGTGAAGCAGATTGCAAATGGTAAAAATACAAAAGTATGTGAGGAAAAATGGATGCCGGGACTCCCTCCAAGACATGTTATGCAACCAATATTATATCGAGATCTTCTGGTATCAGATCTTATTGATGGCAATAGTCAAACTTGGAATGTAGATCAGTTAAACCGGGTCTTATCTCAGCCGGATGTGGAACTGGTCCAGAGAATTCGGTTATCAAGGTTTGCAAAGGAAGATAATTATGTTTGGCCTTACACTAAGAATATGTAGTATTCAGTAAAATCTGGCTATTGGGTAGCTACTCATGATTTTAAAGAAGGTGATTCTGTTGTTCCTCCTGAAGGCTCATTGGTCCTGAAGCGTCAAGTATGGAAGTTAGAAATTTTGCCTAAAATCAAGAACTTTTTATGGAGGAGTATTTCTGGTGCTCTCCCTACGTATGTCCAATTGATCTCTAGAGGTATCAAAACTGATCATGTTTGTCAACGATGTTGTGTAAATGACGAAACTATAAATCATGCTCTCTTCGAGTGTCCTCATGCTTTTGCAATTTGGAGATGTAGTGGTATTAATGCAGAGATGGTGCGATCTCAGTCTTTGGAGGAAAATTTATCCTCTTTGTTTCGAATGATGGAGCATACTCAGATCAATGAACCGGTTAGACTGCTTCCTTTCTGGACTATTTGGATAATCTGGAACTCTAGGAATGAATTTCTTTTCTCTAGAAGAAATGTTCATCCTATAGATGACGCAAGACGAGCAGTGGAGGCTAATAACGGATGGATCTGTAATGTAAGTAGCAACAAAGAGTTGAGTGGTAGAAGAAGAAAACCATCTACATGGGAACCGCCAATAAGAGAATGGCTAAAGTGTAGTTTTGATTGTAGTTGGAAATTTGGATCAGAATTTGGTGGAGTAAATTGGATAATATGTGATCATGGTGGAACATATATGGGATCAGGAGGTGCTAAAATTCCAAACGTAAACTCACCGTTGGAAAGTGAAGCCTTGGGATTCTTATATGCGATGCAACAAGTATGGATTCGTGGATTTCAACATGTATGGTTTGAAGGTGATAATGAGGAACTCGTACGAGTTATTAATAACGTGGTCAACCAACACTATGAGCTTGGAAATGTACTTCATGATCTCCGGTTCTGGATGATGCGGCTGGAAGAGTGTTCACTGTCATATAGAGAGAGGAATTCTACTGCTGATATCATTGCTAAAGAAGTCTTGAAGATTCCACAAACTTGTATTTATTATGATATACCACCTACTTGGTTGGTTAACTATTTGTACTATCCTTTTACTCTATAATAAAGAAGTATGTTGTTAAAAA